AATCGGATTTAGCTGACTGAGTTACAGGCTGCAGTCTGGGAAGTCCAATGGTGGCTGTCTCACACTGGAAAGGCTGGGAATCTGGTAGTTGTCAGTCCATGAGGCTGGAAGTCTCAACAGCACTAGTCTGGCATTGAAGGCCTGAAGAATTCCTAGAGAGCCGCTGGTCTCTGTCGGAAGCCTGAAGAAGTCACTTCTAATCTCAGTGGGGGAAGCTGCAGTGATGGGATAAATGAGCTCCTTAAAGAGGGAGGGCATACGGCCAAAAAGCAGCTTCTTCCACGTCCCTTTATCTGGGCAGCCACCAGACGGCTCCTCCCAGATTTAGGGTGGGTCTTCCTGCTTCAAATAATCTGATGAAGAAAAGCCCTCACAGGAGTGCCCAGTGGCTTGTATTTTTCACACAAGTTGATTACAGATGCAGTCACATTATGCACATGATCTATTGAGCACTGCTGAGATCTCTCTTAGCCCACTCTTGAACAATTCTTTGTGAATTTTACACATGAACATAGTGCATTTTTATCATATTCACCCACCCACATTCCCCTCTCAAACTCCATGTTCTTTTCTTTATATTTTTAAAAATATTACATATATATGTACATATTACATATAATTTTGTATTGTTGATGCAAAATTTTACAATTCTCATCTTGAAAGAAATAAGAAATGGTTTATTCTGGAACTATTTTTCAATGGCCATGGCCCTAGAACCCAGATTTAGGTTATTGAAAAGTCTATGTTCCAACACAGAAGCAGTTTCATGAAGTTTTTATAGTTTTACAGAACAGAGAAAGTCATAAATCATGGTAAGTTTAAGATACACTGGTGGGTACCCCAGAGAAACAGTTAGGGAGATGGGGAAGCTTTTCTATAGGCCCAAGATGCTGTCTGAGGACATTCTTTGCTCTCAGATTTATGGAATCTAGAGGTCTGCTACACGAATGGATTCCCAAAAGGTTCCATTACTCACAAGATGTTAGTTCAAACACAGAGATGGGCAAGGAATGGCTGTTCCAGAGGGCTAGAATTAGCCCAAGATAGGGTAATTAGTCTTTGGGTCTGCAACATTCCAATCCCCACCCCCCAGCACTGAAACTCTAATCAGTCAATCAGTCTCCGCAGCACAGCTTCTTTCAGAAGTTTTCCTTCACAACAGAAAGAACCCAGCGAGTTGGATTAGTTTTGCCCATATACATATGAATGTAGTAGCTCCTGTCTTTTGGACCAGGAACTATGCCCCTGAAGGAAACTGGCTATCTTTTCCCAAGAAGCCTTTAACTACCTGTGGCTCCACAACTAAGAGAGGGACCTCAGGAGCCTGCCCTTCCTCCATGCTTTCGGGTTGGCTAGGCTGGTCTTTGACGGGTATTGTGAAGGCAGCCACAGCTTTCTGGAGTTCACAGGGACAATATCCCTGCCCTATCTGGAAGATAATTCACAGTAGTCCTCCTGGTCTCCTGACTCTTACGATCTCTTCATCCCCTCTTCAGTGATGTTCCCTGAGCTTTAAGAACCAAATGTAGATGGCCCATTTGGGAATGAGCACTCCACAGTCACTGATTCTCTGCACTTTGACCAGTTGTGAGTCTATGGAAAAAGAAGCTTCTCTGACCAAGGTTGAGAATAACACTCAGCTATGGTTATAAGAACACGTATTTAGAAGGCACTTGAATAAAAGTCAGTTTATCAAAAAAAATGGTAGTAACAGGTTCTCCCTTAGCCTCTATGATCTTTCAAGCCTTGGACTCTTGGCCAGAGTCACAGTACTGGGCATGAGTTCCCTCCCATTGAACGGGCCTTAAAGTGAACCAGGCAGCTGTTGGTTACCCCTGAGACATCTCTGCCACTATTGTACTGCTGGACATGTCTTGCTAGACTGGGTGTTATTGTAACTCACAGTGGTCCATTCTTTTTTACTGAATTTTCCCTCCTGGTTCAAGAAGTTTCATGAAAGACAGGTGGAAACTTGATCTCCAAGAAGACTGTATTGTCTGAACACTGGAAGACTGTCTTAGAAAATTCTAAGTGCTTTTCATTGGCTCAGTTATAACAAAACCCATTGGAGAAGAATAAAGGACAGCAAGCAGGTGTCATCCAGACCCGACCTACACTCCCTTCTCTGGCCACATTCCTCCTATGCAGTGAGAGACTGTATCTGAAGAATAAAAACCAACACTTTCTATGTATTCCGAGTATCAACAGAAGTTTTTCCCTTGCCTTGCACCTCTGTCCACATTAAGAGTTCTTTGCTGTGTTGTCTGGAAATATGTGAACGTATCTGTCATTTGTCTGGCTTCTGTGTTTTAAGATTCCTTAGTCTGCAGAAAACAACTTTGCCTTCGGTATGAATGAGGACTGCATTTGTTAATAGTCTAAAAGTACAAGTTAGAAAAGTTGAGAGCAGTAGAGGAAGGCTGATCAGGCAACTAGCTCTTCTCATCATTTGGACCAGAGCTAGAAAGCTGGTTTCCTATTCCCTTCAATGCCAAAATTTATCAAAGGCAGCCAGCCTTCCTTATCAGTGATCTGCACAGAAAATGCTGACAGGGACAGGCCATTGTGAGAAGTGGCAAGGAAACACACGGTGCAAATTTTCTCCGATTCAATATGCAGTGTGAGAAAGCCTGAGCAGCAAACAAATGTCGGTCACCAGACTCTGAGCTCAGAGAAGCACAGCACCAAGGGGGGATCCCCAAATGTTTCATTGTCAGCCAAGGGGCCAAGACATGAGACAGCACTGTCAAGAAGACATAGAGATCACCCCCAATTGTTGACAGCAGATGGCCGCTAATGGCAAGTGTTTTTAACACAGCTTTATTGCTCCAGGTTGAGGCATTGATGTGTCTCCATGGGCTTTTGTGTTTGTTTCTTTCTTTCTTTATTTTATTTTAAAAAGTCACTTTGTGCAATGACAGCATGACAAGCGTCATAATTTTTGCCTGCACTAGGGCCACTTTATATGTGACTTCTCACTTCCCTGGTGTAGGGACAGCATTTGGGATCTAACCAAGGGTGGGTTTATAGCATTTTGAGCTTTGACAATTAACAAGATAAACATTAATTCTTCCACATCCATGAGGAACTGCCCCATCTTCTAAGCAATTGGAAGGGCTTTCAATCCAAGTAAATACAGCCTCTTTCCATGCACAAGGAGGGTTTTCCAGATCCAGGGCCAAGTCTGTGGGAAGGAAGAGGCTTTTTAACACTCTTATTTCTCTAACAAAGTGACTTTAGTCACTGCAGATTTGAATCTGATTTCTGGGTGATAATCTTCTTGTTTGAACTCTAAATCCCCTGTATGTTGTTAGACTCCAGCTATCTGGGACAGAAGCCCAAGGCAGGTGATGCTGGAAACAGAAGCAGAGCAGGAAGCAGAGAGATTGACTGAGACCTCCTCAATGCCCCCCCTCCAACTCCCCCCCACAACGCGCCAAAAAAAAAAAATAACCTACTGAGTCACTATTTACTGAAAGGTAAATAATCGTCAAGGAGACATTGGGTCCTCTGTTGCCTCCTTATTCTTTCCGGAATCCTGAGAGTTTCACACTTGGTTTTATTCTTCTCTCACCTCCAAATGAAAGCAAGTCTGTAAAGCTCCATATCGTAGAGTTGGGATAAGGGTGAGGACGGGGGATGAAGGTGGAGAATCCAACTCTTAGTGAACCTCTGTCTCTGTGTTTGTAATTGGGTTAGTTGTTAGAGGAGTAGATAGCGAGGCTGGGTGTCTGTTCTTCTGGGGGTGTTTTTCCACTTTGGCACAAACTGTCAGAGCCTGGGATTCCTAGGAAAGAGTAAATCCTTCAGGGTCACACAGACATCTTCCCTGCTGTACTGGGACTGCTCCAAAGACCTGCATCATACTGCCCCTGACAGTTCACAGTTGGAAGCCTGAGATGTATGGCCACCACCAGCCAGCAGTTTTAACAAGAAAAGAACCAACAAATACACCAAGGTGAAAGATTAGGTTGTTTACTTGGCAGTTTGCTGCTCAGAACTGTTCTGGTCACCTAGGAATGTTGTAGAATATGCTGCCCTTTTAAGTCTGTAAACAAACAGCTCAAGCTTGTAGATTTCCGTATTGCTACGGGGCTAAAGTGCTGAACACATTTTCTAAATTTCTCCTTCCTCCCCACAGAGACAAGCATCTTGGATAGTGTTTGTTTTTTGAAAGAAAAAAAAAGTAAAGCTAACGTGGTCGGTACTTTTGATGTAGGCAACAGTCCCATCACTAATTAAGCCACCACTGCAAGAACACCAGATCATTTGCCATAGGATACCACCAGCATGTCTGGAAGGTTCTGTTGAAATTGGTAATGGAGTTCTGTGCCTCAGATAGACTCCTAGAAATAATCCTAGTGTCAGACCCTACAACCTCCTCACCTCACCTCTGCCCCCTACCCCCACTCTCTCCTACCCCACCCCCTACAAGGCAGTCTGGGAAGCTGATTCGCTGTCAATTCTCACAATGGCCAGTGGGGTGGTGATGAAGTCAAAACCCTCGATTTTTTTCTATGCATGAGTTAGGAAGCCTGGCACTATGAGTAAGAAAATGTCCCCACTCATCTGACTTGAACATAAAAACTTGTGCGATTGTGTATTACAAAGCAGTTCCACAGAACCACCCCCCCCCCCCACCAGGGACGTTAGGGGATGATGTTCCCTCTTCCCACTGTGTCTCAGTTAGGGTTTCTATTACTGTGATTACTAACAACTCAGCTTACATGTCCTGATCACAGTCCATCAAGAAGGGAAGTCAGGGCAGGAGTTCTGGGTTGGAACCTGGATGTAGGGGCTGATGCAGAAGCCACGGAGGGGTGCTGCTTACTGGCTTACTCCTTAAGGCTTGCTCAGCCTGCTTTCGTATACACCCCAGGACCAAATGCCCCGTGGTAGCACAGTGGGCTGGGCCCTCTCACATCAACCACTAATTAAGAAAAAGCACCATAGTCTTGTCTACAGGCCAATCTGATGGGGTTTCCTCAACTGGAGCAAATGAGTCTAGCTTGTGTCAAGTCAATGTGAAAATGCCAACACGCAGTGTAATATCTGCACACCGGCCTCATCTGGAAAGGGTGTCCCTCATACTCACCAAGGACCTCTACAACCAGAATCAACACTGGAAAGCCACAGTTTCCAATCAGATAAGAGGACTGTTCAGTGCCAGTTATTTCTTTGTAGGTTTTGTTCATTTGAAACCGGAGTTCCCTGTGTGGACCAAGTTTGTCTCTCAATAGTCTTGCCTCAGTGTCCTGAGCACTGGATTATTGGACTGTCACAGCCAGCTTCTTTGATATCTTTTGAGAAGGAGGAGTCCTCCGGAAAACTCCCACCAGATCTCCCACTGAACCCTCACGCAGTAGGTCACATGGTTGCCATCTGGCTCGGATGCTACAAGGAAAACAGAATGGCCGGGGTTGGCTGAGGTGAGTCAGGCCTCCGCTAGACTACCTGAAGGAAAACGGAAAGCTGCTGAGACAGAGGAAAGAGCTAGGATGCGGGGGCCACACATGCCCCAGCTTCAAAAGCCAAAAAAATCTAGATACCGTGAAATCATCGAGGACTTTGGTTTTCTTTCCAAAGACGTGATTACTTATTCACAAGTCCAAGATGTGCAAGAGTAGAATGGCGAGAAGAGCCGACACCACCACCGGCCGAAGCCCCACACTTTCCTGCAGGCTGCTCCTTCCTCACCCTTAGACTGTCGGTTTCTTAGACGTTATGTTGGCATATCATCCTACTTTCAACGTTTATTTTCCTTTCTTCAGAATTTCTAGCAAAGTAATGTGATCTCTTTTTCCTCGCTGGCTGACTAGTTGAACAGAACAGCTAGGAGCCAGCGGTTATCTTAAACCAGCAGGTGTTTATCTTCTCTGCACGGTACAGACGGTGTGTGGTTCTCTAGCTTTCAGGGATGGAGACAAGTGCAGATCCAGCTGGACCTCAAGCCTCGGCCTGTTCTTAGAAAAGGGGACACTGATTAGTATCTCGGGTCCCAGGACTTACATCCCAGGGCTTACCTATTTGCTGCCAACCTGTGTGCTTGGTTTTTCTTGCGTAGAGAGGCCATAAGGAATTTCTTGTATGTGTTTCACTAAACACTAATTCTTTTGTCTCGTGGACAGCAAGTACAGTTTTAGAAGTCATTGATAGAAATGGCAAATCAAGGTGTCTGCTGTTGGGCAAACCTGTGTCCTCATGATCCTGAAGAATTTGCAGCTTGCTGGATTTCCCAGGCCTTCTTGCTCCAGAGCCTGCAAGCTGCTAATAACTTAGCTGCAGGGAGAGTCTGTCTGAGCTGCAGGGGGGTCTTTCTGAAGAAGACAGCAGAGAAAGAGGAATGAAGATCCTCTGGCTACAGAGTTAGAAAGTGCTGTACGAACTCCACAGCATGCTTAAACACCCGGCCTTTTCACAAGGGAAAGAAAAGCCAAGGAGCTGGAGACATAAACGGAATCAAAACAAGATGTGAAAAACAATGACAAAACAAACAGTAAGACGAACTGGAAACACACGAAGCAGGGTCACCAAGCCAGAGGGGGACTGGCACAGCGCTCAGAGGGAGAGGGCCGGGTCTGGGAACACCCACTTCACCAGGCTTTGGGGACAGCCTTCGGGGTGAGGCGGGCTCATCCGAAAATGATGGTGTCTCTGTGGAAGGGTGGCCTTGGAAACATCACTTGGCAGCAGCATGATATAGAAGTCTGTCTGCTGCCAGTTGAGAGTTGGGTGACAATGTAATTTTTCCCTGAAGGAAAGTGAAATGAAAAGCGGGCCCATGCATGTGTTGCCCAGGCCTAGAAGTCAGATCCCGAGACTCTGCTTGGTTCTAGTCAAAGAGAAAAGCTGCGTGGTGTGATCTGTACCTGGTGTGGTCTGGGAGTCCCAGTGAGCACCACCCTGTCTCAGGGACTCCCGTGCTACCTGATTTGGGCTTGGTGTGGGTGGTGCCCCTTTATACTTGGCAGAGGCTAATTCAAACCAGCCTAGTCTTGCAGCCCAAGCCATAGGGGAAAAGGGTGGGTAGGCAGAGTGTCTGCTGAAGATGAGCCCACAAGAGAAGAAATAGGCTGAAGAGCATGGAGCCAGAAGAGAAAACTAAAAGGGTGTGCATGTGTGCATGTGTGCGTGTGTATATATGCTGAGGGAAGCTGAGGATTAAACAATAGTGTGAGGAAATTTTGAAAAGGCGCCAACATGATTATGTATTTGCTATTTTCTCTTATAATCATTCATTTTCATTTGTAATATTTCAAGTTTATTTATTTACTTCCTTAGACAGAGGCACAGACACACACCTGCTATAGTATTTATGTGGAGATCAGGGGAGAGCTTTCGGAAGTCAACTTCTCTCTCTTGACCATGTGAGATATGAAAATGGAACAGGGTTTGTCAGATGTGGCAGCAGACACCTTTAGCCATGAAGTCATCTCTTCCAGCCGCTTTTGTAAATTTTGATGCTATGTTGAGATTACAAATTAATAATTCCTATACTTAAGCCTGGTAAATATTCCCTTTACCAATATTTATTCTTTAAAACGTGCTTCATGCATTGCAGTTTCATTCAGTTAAATTTTTCTTTAAAAACACAGTCAGCACGCAAGCCTGGGCATTCCATACCTTCAAGGGGGAAGGTACACGAAAATGTTGATTTTGTTTGTCCCCCTGCCTCTGCCTCTTGAACACCGTGAGTACAAGTGTGTACCACCATACTGAACCTGTTAGAGACTGCTGGATCCAGAAAGATCCCTTGCCACATGATGTCACTTGCTAGGAGCAGCCCATGGGAAAATATACAGATTCAGGGCACTGCAGCTGAGGGTCCTGTTCAGTCTTATTCTCTGCAGTGAGAGATACCAGAGATATGCACTTGAAGTAGTCAGTGTTCTCTGTAGGGACAGAAGCAATGGAATGAATACATTTAAAAGCAGGGGAGGGGTTATTAGATTGGCTTACCAGATATGATCTTCATAGTCCAGCAATGGCTGTCTTCACACTGGAAAGGCTGACTTCCAGAAACTGCTCAGTACACAAGACTGAATTCCTCAATAGGTCCATCCTGGTGCTGGAGACCTGGAGGGTTCCTGGAGAGCCACTGGTGTCTTTGGTCCATGTTGGAAGCCTAACATGGGTTCTGATACCAGCAGAGGAATCCAACAGCAGTGGTTGCAGTAGCGGGGCAGTTAAACACACAAAACAGACACATGAACTCACAGTCAAGATGTGAAGGTGTACTAGTAGGTGATGCCAGCTTGACACAAACCTAGACATATCTAGGAAGAGGGACTCTTAACTGAGAAAATGCCTCCATGGGATTGGTCTGTAGGCAAGTCTGTGGGTATTGTCTTGATTAATGATTAATGTGGAAGGCCTTGCCCACTGTGGGTGGCACCCTCCCTATGTAGCAGGCTGAGTAAGCCATAGATGGGGAGCAAGCTAGTAAGCAACATTTATCTACAGCCTCTGCATAAGTCCCTGCCTCCAGGTTACTGCCCTGCTTAAGTTCCTGCCTTGACTTTCCTCATTTAATGGCTGTGACCTGAGAGGTGTAAGTAGGAATAAACCTCTTCCTCCTCAAGTTGATTCTGGTCTTGGTGTCTTTACACAGCAATAGAAACCCTAAGGCAGAAGCCAATGAAGCGAGAAACAAAGCTTTTCCTTTGGACCTCCTTTATCAGGCTGCCACTGCCCACGTTTATAGTTCACATCACGCCATCAGTCAAGTCTCTCACAGCTGTGCTTATCAGCTTAACTCTTAGATGCCACATCCAGTCAGCTTGACAGCTAAAATTAACCCTCACAGGATTCATGTTAGGCATAGTGTTGAACCAACATGGTTTTTAAACCATTTCCTCAGTTTCAACTTATTATTACTGTGTAGAATATATCATTTGTAAGCAACAGGTAGATTCAAAGCCCAGAGTCTCCAACTTTAAACTAATGAATTTACTTCAT